CTCTAATAAATAAAAATAAAAATAAAAAAAATTTTTAAAAAAAGAGAGAGCAGAAAAGGATGGGTTATAGGAGAATGTGGCCCTGAAATGGAGACCTGAGCATATGTTAAGATAGAAACAAAAACTAAGACAAGTAAATAAGCAAGTAAAAGCTGATGGGGGAAAAGGAACAGGAAACATAAGTAATACTACCAATACTTTCATCAGGTTGCAGAGATAGCTCAGTGGGCTAAGCGCCTGCCTTGGCAAGCACGAGGACCCAGGTTTAATCTCTGGTACTGTATGCTGTGGCAGCCACCAAACCGGGCATGGTGACACACGCCTCTAATCCCAGCACTGGGGAGGCTGAAACAGGAGGATCAAAACTGTAAGTTTGAGCTGCGTAGTGAGACCCTGTGCCAAATACATAAAATAAAAATAATAACAATAATACTTTCATCATCACTCATGGTAGAGAATCAATAAATAATGTGTGACAAAATATACTGTATTTGGAGCTGGCCATGGTGGTATGGGTGTGCACGTGTGCTTGACACACAGAGAGAGACAGGGTCTTGCTATATAGTTCAGGTTGGCCTTGAACTCACCACAATCCTCCGCCCCAGCCTCCCAAGTATTAGGATTACAGACATGCACTACCACATCCCCTGAAGAAATATACTATGAGTTATAAGCACAGTCACTAGAATAGAGAGATACACACCTATAATCCTAGTCCTGAGAGACTGGGGCAAGAGGGTCACAAATTTGAGTCCAATCTTAGCAATTTACCAATTTAGTGAGACTGTCTCAAAATTTAAAAATTTTTATATGCTGGCTATGTAGCTCAGTACCAAAGTCCTGGGTTCAATCCCTGTTACAATTTGGGTATAGGTGTCCCCCCAAAGCCTCAGGAAGTCATGGCAGCAGCAAAGAGCAGAGAGCAAGGGGGCTGGCGGCAGCCCAGGGAGTTAGTTAGCCTCTCCCCTCCTTACACTGTAATGCAAGTTACCTGCCCCAGGGGAGGTGCAGTATCCACATCCACAATAATTAATCACAAACTCCAGAAGCAGCCCTGTGACTGGAAGAGGCTTTGGGGGACACCTATACACAAGTCATAATGTTCCCCAATACCATTTTTTAAAAGGCAAATTATTAGAACACATACACACAAGCCTCTTCCCAAAAAAACAGGTACAGTCCATGCATGCTAGATTGTTTAAGTGAAAAGATTTTTTTTTAAATTTTATTTATTTATTCATTTACTTTTTTTGTGTGTGTGTGGCCAGCTTAGCCCACCAGGGGGCGGGGCTGGCTGGCATGTGGTGCTGGGGGATTGAACCGCGGTCCCTGTGCTTTGCTTGGCTTAGCTTGTTCTAAGTAGGTGCTTTAGACCACTGAGCCATCTCACCAGTCCCATGAAAAGATTTTTTTAAAGAAAAACATTGAAAGCCCAGCACAGTGGTACATACCTGTAATAACTCAGCTATGCAGGAGGCTGAGACAAAAGAGTCCCAAGGTCAAACTCTGCCTAAGCAATGTAGCAAGACCTTATCTCAGACCAAAATATAAAAAAGGCTGGGGTGAAGCTCAGTGGCAGGGCACTTGCCTGGCATGCAGGCGTCCCTGGGCTTGATCCCCTACACTTCAAATAAATAAATGACTACAGTTTTTTAGAAGAATGAGGTACAACATGAATCATTAACTGACACAAAGTGCCTAACCATACACGTGACGCTGCTTTTGCAGAAACCTTTGAGGAGTCTATCCACACTTTTGGATGATGAGTGACCTATGGTGGTGGCACCTCAGCCAGGACCCTGGTAGCTTGGAAGAGGAGCTGGAGGACCAAAGCACAGGGGATAAGAGGCTTAGTCTCCACTGCCAGCCCTTCTGACCTCCTGATTATACAATGCCCAAGTGTCATCTTTAGAGGAAGTAAATGAAGGGGCCCAAGGAGTTGCAAGATGAAATGGTGTAGCACGCAGGCTGGTAGCAGCCGGCACCAGCAGGCCAGGCCACAGCGTGGCCCCCGTGCCCCCTCCCTCCCGTACGTATAATGTCAAGCCTCGCACAAACTTAAGAGAATAGAACAAGTTCCCAAGTCCTCTGTCTCGACCAGCAGAGGTGACCCTGGTAACGCAGGAGGCATGATCACGATCACCGGCAGCCCACCTGCGCAAGAGGGTCAGAGGGCATCTTCCTGCCTGTGACCTGTAGCTAGCCCTTGGGCCCTCCTTTTCAGCTCAACCATCCCCAAACCTCTCAGCAAGGCTCTTAGGTAATCTGTAAACAAACAGCTACTACCCTACTAGAGAAGCACACACTCTGAAAAGCAAACGATACTACTTGAATGTGTTTTAAAAGCTTCCTAGGCAGAGTGAAAAGGAAAAAGAAACAAGAAGAATGAAAGAACAGAGGAAAGGTTTGGCTTAGCAAGAGGCCCCAAAGGACCAGGGCGATAGCTCGGTGCAGTAAGTGCTTATCTGGGAAGCACAAGGCCCTGAGTTCAATCCCTGGTACCAAAGGGGGAAAAAAAAAGAGGGCTCAGAAAACACAATTAAAGCACAAGCAACCAAAATAACCCTTGAGGGCCACTGATTTGCCTCCTAGCATTTATACACTTAGATGAGTAACAAACTCTCCAAGTCCACAAGCCAGCTTCTTTTGTTGAGACAGTCTCCCTATGTAGTTCAGGCAGTTTGAGACATTTTCCCTATGTAGTTCTTTGAACTCTCAGCAATCTCCCTGCCTCAGCCTCCTGAGTGCTGAATTACAGGCGTAAGCCACCACACCTGGCTGCCATCTTTTTAGTAAAACATAAAATCAGGGGGAAAATGCTTCAGGGAAAGCTCAACAGACCAGTTTGGTTAGTTGACTGGCCAGAAAAATAGGAGAAACTCCTTAGATCTCTGGAAAGAGCTTGCTACCTGCCAGTAATCCATGCAGAGAAAAAGCAAACCTAATTGCGTAGGTTTCTGGGGCAGAGACCATTAATTACCTAGAAAGGGAATCTTCAGATCACAGCGGACTATTTTTTAAAGACGTCGGCGCAGCCCGAAGGTGAAGGCACATGACAGTCCTCTGCAGATGCGTCCAAGCTCAAACTGAGTTTGTTAACATATTCTTGAACTAAAGGGCGATGGCTCTGAACCTGGAACACTGTATAACAACCTAGCTTCTCAGGACTCAAAAAGGACGAGGAACAGGTTAGAAGAAGAGAAACAAAGGTGGTCAGAGGCAAAGGGAAGACCAAGGCACACGGCCCGGGCCCTGAGGCCTCCCGCTCGCTCCTCATCCCAACTCAGCTCTGGGAGACCCACGGCTCCACCTGGCAGATGCACCCCTCAGGGAATCCGCCAAGCTCCAGCCCTTCCTGGGATGCCTCCTGATTCCCACCTCCCTTTTTGAAACGGTGTCACGCCACAGTGCCCCGTTTACCTCTACACTCCCAGGGAGGCCCTTCCCACCTACACCCACACCCACTGGCCAGACCCTCAAAGATACAAATAAGGGCTTATATATTTTTTAATAAGCTAGATTTTTTTTTTTTTTGCTAGATTTTTTTTAAAGTGAACTAGCTTTATATAGTATTGTAAGGAACAATAAGTGTTCAACATCTAGTTTAAAATATGACAGTAGGCCAGGTGTGGTGGTGCGTGCATGAGATCCCAACACTGGGGAGGCTGAGGCAGGAGGATCGCCATGAGGTCCAGGCCAGCATGGGACACATAGTAAGTTCAAGGACAGCCTGAACTGCATAGTGAGACCCTGTCTCAAAGACAAAAAAAGCCATGCAGGCACCACCCCCAGGTGCACTGAGCAGGCCACCAAGACCAGCACACCTGTAATCCCAATGCTGGGGAGGCTGAAAACAGGAGGATCACTACAAATCTGCATAGCGGGACCCTGTATCAAATACATAAGTTAAAAAAAAAGACAA